ATTTCAAACTTGTTTTCTTATTTTTAAAATATGTTAAATTTATTCTCTTGAATGTGTAATCTTCCCGAAAGAATACATGCGTCTAGGGGGCCCGGCCCATTCATTTTTTTAAGTGTACATACATTTTTTTTATGTAAAAAAGCAATTTTTTTTTTTTTTTACATATTAATCCGAGTTGTAGTCCGATCTTGAATCATATATGGAATTTGTTTTCTTTTTAAATGGTGAAAGTGATAAGTTTTAAACACCTATTTGTTCTAGGATAAATCTATTTGGAAAAGTTGAAACATTCAAAATAAAAATAAAATAGTTGAAACTTACCCATTTTACAAGTAAATTTAGAGGATAGCCACCGTGTAATTATCCAGTCACCATATACTAATCTCAAAATTAACATAGTCAAATATTTGAATTCAACTCCAAGAATTGAAGATTTTTGTTGATTTTGACCATTGGTAGATGGTAGTTATTTGTTTATGACATAAATTGAGTTAAATCAACAACATCATTGGTTGTTAGAAAGTCGATAACATTACCCATTATGTCACAATGATAATGCAAGAAGTCACACTAAACGTGCTGAAATTTGGCAAAAGGCCTAACCTTTTCTTGTACACAAAGTCACAAGGTGGCCACGTGGCAGGAATCGCTCCTACTACTAGGTTGTCTTCCTCAGTACTCACATTTACTTGTACAAAATAATTAGGGAGCACCAAAATTAGATGCAACCAACACGTGTCCTGTCACGAGGAGAACCTCGTTTGCTTGCCGTGTGCCAGTCCCCGATGATTTGCTTCCCTCACGGTGATCAAGTTATCAATTGCTCCACTCCAATTAATAAATTATATACCCGAAATTTGAAGACATCTCTAAAAATAAGATTATTTAGACCCTAGCTTCATGGACTTAACCTTCACGTCATAAATAAGAAAGAAACTTCAATTTGATAGGCTTTGAGATGGAAAGTGAACACTAAGCCCATGTTTGGTGGTTTCTTTTTTTTTTTTTTTTTGAAAAAATAATATTTTGAATAGTGAATTTTTGAAAAATGTGTAGTGAAAAAGTAAGAAAAATTTTGAATTTATGTGTAGAATGTTTTATTGTGTGTAATCATGTCAACGAGTCGAGTCATAAGCCGAAACTTAAAGCTCGAACTCAATTTGAACAAAACAAATCCGAGCTTTTTGGGCCCAAGCCGAGCAAAAGTTCGGCCAAAAAAATGAGGTTCGATTTGAGTTTTTGGCTTGAGCCTTAGTGGGCGGAGCCGACTCGTGTTTTTTTTTTTTGTTAATTCATTATAAATCTATAATTTTTATAATGNGCTCAATTTTTTTTTAAAATTCGTGACAAATATATTTAAAGAATTTAAAATTTGTGCAATTTATACATATTATAAATAATAACTAAATATTAATATATAAAAAATACATTTAAACTTTAAAAAAAATTATTATTTTTTTTAATATTACTTAGTCATGGGCTGGTGATGAGCCACGAGCTGAGTCGGCTCGAGCCTACACTCCAAAATGGGGCTCTGCAAGAGCCTGACTAGGGCTTTTTCCGGCCCTGGCCCGTGAACTTTTTTGCGGTCCCTAATTATGTGAATGTTTTGTTAAATTATGAGTAGCTTTTCATTCGAGGTTCAAGCTCAATTGCTGTTTTGTTTAATTTTGTTAACCTTCTCGACTTTGTGTTCTTATGCAACTACAATTAACAACTTAACATTTGATGCCTAGTTAATTCCCCCCACCCTCATATGGGGTGAGATCCACTTGTATGGGTGTAACCTCTTATGTACATATTTTGATGTACCACTAGCATTATTCAAATATTATTATCTTCTTGTTTAAGTCATTTATCATCTTATATATTGATTTACGAAAAGTCTGACAAAGAATCAATACACTTCGATGAAATTATGGTGCCGTTTCCTCAATCACACATTATAATTGCAATTTATTTTCTTTTATGGGAGTGTCATCTTCAAGTGTAACTAGAAGATTACAAAATTTAATATCACAAGCCATCAGATTTCCAAAAGATACTATCAAATTGCTCGTGATATCAACATTTTATAGCCATGAATAGAATTTGGTAAGTGTTAACTAATACAAATGGAAAATCGTGATTAAAGTCTCTTAATAAAAGCAGATTACCAAAATTAAATACAAACATACCAAATATTTACCTCCACGCGTCCATATTGTAGCACGTGTTCTTATTCACGTGGAAAACTAGGGAAAAAGAGTGTTCAAAGAAGAAGTCTTNNAAAGAGTGTTCAAAGAAGAAGTCTTATATCACTTGGTCTTTCATCCACCCCATCCCCACCCCACCGAGAGCAATTTGAGTCAATCAATACATACGTTCTCGAGCGGTTCAATGTGTGTGACGTGATTTGAACAAACGATCCTATTTTGTATACATAAAGAACTTTACTCATATCGACCCTTACAAATATAGAATATGAACACGAAGATTGATTGTGTCTTTGTTTGGTTCAGATGAAATTTAGATTTTTAGTAGATTTTGATAAAATTTAATTAAATGTATAGTGGAAAATTTATGGATCACATCAAATAAGTGATTAAAATAAATTATTAACTTTTACTTAAATTTTAATTAAATTTTTTCGTTGAATCAAAGAGGACAGCTCCTGTTTGACAATCATTAAATTGGAAAAATTATGATTTAAGTAGTGATCTTTAGAAGAATTTATGGTTAAAAAAGGAGAAAACTTTTGGATTTAAGTGAAAATATTTTATGGTTGAAAATAAGTACGTAAAAAAGAATTTTTAAATAATAATCGTCAAAAACATAAGGCTTAATTAATCAAATATATTCCATGAAGTTAAACATGTACAACATCGCCACCGCCATTCCTCACGGAATTGCCAAGTTCTCGACCCTAACCTTATATATATAACACAGAAATTCCTTCAGTTCTTCACTTTCTTACTTCACAATTCAGCACTCTCTCTCTCTCTCTAGAATCTTTCCAAACACTCAAAAAATTGGCTTTTCCCTTTATCACACACAATCAATGGCCCTTGAAGCTCTGAATTCACAGGCGCCCCCGCCGCCGGCTCCTGTCCGGTATGAGGAGATTGACTCTAACAGGACTAAAGGGAAGCGCTCAAAGCGTTCGCGATACGAAGTCGTCCAGAGTCATACGGATGATGATGAATTCTTGGCTCTCAGCCTCATGATGCTTTCTCGCGGCGCCCCCTGTACCGCCGAAACCACCGCTGAAACGAAATATGATATTAAGCCTGTTCCCACAACCACCAAACGTACGACAGCGGAGAACATCCTCATCCCTAGTGAAGAAGAAGAAAAGAAACAGATAAAGTCTTCACTTTCGTCGACTGAGGCGGTGGCTCAGCCACAGAATACTTACAAGTGCAGTGTTTGTAACAAGGCTTTTCCGTCATATCAAGCGCTAGGGGGCCACAAATCCAGCCATGGTATTAAGAACTCCTACTCCACCTCTACTGCATCAAAAGATGGTCATGTCTCGTCGTCGACCTCCATCGTCACCGCCCCTAATACCCCTTCTCTCAACGTAACCGGTAAACATCATGAGTGCTCCATCTGCCATAGAGTTTTTCCCACGGGCCAAGCTTTGGGTGGCCACAAGCGTCGCCATTATGAAGGCGTAATTGGCGGCGGTAAGAAGAGCAGCATAACCTCCTCCGAAGGCGCCGACGCCTCCACCCGCAGCCAAAGCCAAAGCCACGGCCACGGCCACACCGTCCGTGACTTTGACCTGAACTTGCCGGCCACCCCGGAAATTTGCCTGGATTTGATCCCTTTCCTGGCGGAAGAGAAAAGTCAATTAATTCTTTATGAACAAGAAGTAGAAAGTCCCATGCCCGTGTCTGCGAAGAAACCGCGTTTGTTTCATTGAAGAATTTCATAGAGAATTGATTAGAATACAATTACTGGATTCATTATTTTTTATTTTGTTTTGGAAAATATGATTGGAACACTGGTAAATTTTTGGGTTGACTTGATGTACAGAGAATAGTTCGTTGTATATGAACTCCCTCTTGATCAACTCTTTTATTCATGATGTTAAATGGAAATTATCAAATTTGATCTTGTGTTATTAAATTCTTACACAATGTTCATGCTTAAATTATTATGATTAGTTTTTTCATAATTACGTGTCGATTATATAAATTATTTTTATTCCTTGAGATTTACAAGAGATAGTTAGCCCATATTTGATACACATTAAAATTTTCATTTTCATTTTTCTACTCATTTTCAACCACACATTCTTCAATAAAAAAATATTTTTCATTACATCAATAACTTTTCCTTCTTTTTTAATCACAAATTCTCCATCAATCTACTATTCCAGAATACATTCTTCCAAAATAATGTGGCCCAAACACACCCTTAATAGTTATTACCAACCATGTTGTTCGAAATTTGTATAAAATCGTTGACAACTATCACGTAACGTACAATTTCAAGCACTTTTTCCATTTTTGACACTTTTTATTGCGATGTTGTCGACCTCTTGAAACGAACTTCTTTGAATCCATGAAAAGTGAAGTTATAAGCCCTTTACTTTTTGATTTATCCGTGATTCATCAATATCGTCTTCACTTGTTGACGCGTATTTGAAGCCAATAACCTTATGTTGACAAAGTCAACAAATGCAAAATTACCATATTTGAAAACAAATATTTGACTCATATAAACTTCTCCAATAATAATCTATTGGATTAAGCATTTGTTAAATAGTTTTTTTTTTTTTTTTAATTGTCGATTGTTCTTACGTAATCTGTCTGTCAGCACACACGGTGAGTCGTTAAGAAGCAATAAATTGGAATTGCAACTCAGTTTAATCCTGGGAACTAAAGTAATATCTCTAAGTAAATTTAAAAATTGATCGAAGTTATTATCTATTGGTTGTTTGAGCTGATGTATAGTTACAAACAGCAAATGAAGTTAAAACTGTTAGTGATGCTCAAATTTGATTCTTGATAACAGGGTGGAGATTGTTAAGTGTGTAAAGTGCGTGCGTGATCCCAAAATTGGCCTAAAGTTGTGTTACTAATGGAAGATTTTAACTAGATTATGTCACCTGGCTTCCTCCAGATCGTCTGATTGGCTTCTGGATTATTTCAAAGGTTAAATCCATTCATCCGAGCTTCTGGCATTCATTCAGTTCATCTTGAGAGCATAACCCCCTTTCGATTAGGGCTTTCTCTCCCTTTCTGATATTGAGTGATTCCTTGGTGAAATCTATTGAGGGAAGGAATGATGTTCCTTTTCATTGTATAGTTCAGATTAG